CAGAGGATGGTCCCTGGCCCCGGCTGGGGGAGAGGCAGAGGTCACGGGCTCGGGCCTTCAGGCGTGCTGCCCACCTGGCGGAGGGAGGGAGAACCAGTCCAGCCGCCGAGCTCCTGGGCCGCTCCCTCCGACCAGCTGCCGGGGGAGGGCACGCTCTGCCTGGCGCTGTCCCCTCCGCGCCTCCGTCTTAGACCCTCACCCACCTCCGTGGTCCTTCCTGCTTTCAGAGGAGATGAGCCCGTAGCTTAGTCCCTGCTGAGAAATAGGTCGGGGCCCGGGCGTGGGTGTTGGACAAATCTGTGTGACCCAGAGTAGCGGCCTTGGAGAAAATCGTCATTTCCGGGGCTCGCTTTCCTTGTCCGTAAAATGGGGGAAACACAGTTTTATGACGAGCAGTGTGCTAGTCCGTGAATGTCAGGGGCCTGGGAGCCAGCTCAGCAGTCAGGAGGGGCTCCATGTTACATGCTCTGAATATGTGTGTGTGTGTGGTGGTGGGGGGGCTGCCTTGCCTGGGTCCCGCTGTTGATATTGTGCCTGGACTGCCATCGATTTGGACACTGAAATGCCACCCCCCAATTTAACCCCTCCCCTAAATGGCGGCCTAACTCGCCAGCTAACACGTGGGCAGTTTTGCTCGTTTTACACCTAAGTTAGCACTAACACTTTGCCCAAGGTTTTCAGCCAGTGGTGCCCTTCCCTTCCACACAGACCACGGTCCCCACCAGCTCCTTCGAGCCTTTCCTAGGTGGCATCTTTTTTTATTTTTATTTATTTATTTATTTTTTTAAAAAAATATATATATTTTTATTGATTTCAGAGAGGAAGGGAGAGGGAGAGAGAGATAGAAACATCAATGATGAGAGAGAATCATTGATCAGCTGCCTCCTGCACGCCTCACAATGGGATCAAGCCTGCCACCTGGGCACGTGTCCTTGACTGGAATGGAATCTGGGGCCATTCAGTCCACAGGCTGACCATCTACCCACTGAGCCAAACCAGCTGGGGCCTAGGTGGCATCTTCAAAGCAAGTGGAGGGGTGGGGGGAGGCAGGGAGGAGGCTCCGCGAGGGGGCGACGGGCCCAAAGCCACCAGCTAAGCGCTGTCCCGGGCAAGACACGATCCCAGGGCCTCGGCCTCTGCCCCCCCCTCCCCCCGAGCGCCGCGGGGCCTGAAGCCAGGGCGCAGCTTCTCTCTCGCTCCCGCACCTCCACGTCAATGATCCGGGCACAGCCGCCTCCCGCAGCCCATTTCCCCTCATGCCCACGGGGGTTTGGGAGTTTGCGGGGTGGGATGCTCCGAGGTGGTGCAGTCCTCCCGATCCCCACCTCTGGAGCCTACCTGCCCGAAGGGCTACCTGACCCGCCCGCCGGCCGGCAGAGAAGGCGCGGGCCCGGCCCCCGGAAGTGCGGGCCCGCGGTGAGCGCCCTCGGACGCCCGGCTTCCGGTCGGCGCAGCAGAGAAAAGGGCTCGGGCGGACCCCGTCGCCCAGCTCCAGGGTTCCTAGCGCCACTGAGCAGCACCCGGGAGGCCCCGCGGGCTGTGGGAGAAGCTGCGAACCCCACTCCCCCTGCGCCCGCAGGCCCCGAGCGGGGATGCACGGCTGTGGGGGGCTGCTCCGTGGGGGCCGACCTCCCGGAACTCGGCTCCAGCCCGCGGCGACTGCCCGGAGCTGGACCGGCGGCAGGTAGCCGGTCCGAAAGGAGGCGTGTCATCAGCCGGTCCAGGGTTCGAGAGCGGGTGCTGAGTGCAGGGGCGTGGTCTAGCAGAGCCTCTGGGCGGATAGAGCTGCTCCTGTGCGGGTCCCAGGGCTGAGGCGGGGACCCATTTGGAGGGCGGGACCCTGGCTCCGGTCCGGGACCTGGCGAGGGGGGAGCCCGAGCCGTGCGGGGCGGGGCAGGCGGCCCTGGTTCCTCTCGCTCCGCTTCAGGGTTGGAAGCGGGGACTAGGAGCCGCACGCAGGTTTGTCCATGGCTTTGTCCAGGTGTCCGGCCCGCCGTGGGCCGCAGCGGCTCCTGTAAACCCCACGGCGTGTCCGCAGAGTGTGTCCTGCCACCGCCTCCTTCCCGCCCCAGAACCTGTTACTAACGAGGTCACCGTTCACCAAACTATTGCACAGGCAGTTCCCCGGGCTCCGTCCCGGCCCGGGGAGCCAGCCGCCGGGAATCAATATTTGTAACAAATTACTTCGATGATCCCCCATAAATTCCTTCGAAAACCTGAGGATTGGAAGGAATCTGAAGGCCGGCCGGAGTAGCTCAGCGGTTGGGCATCGGCCTATGAGCCCGGGGGTCACGGACCGTTCGATTCCCGGTCAGGGCACAGGCCCGGGCTGCGGGCTGGATCCCCAGTGGGGGGCGTGCCGGAGGCAGCTGATCCATGATTTTTCTCTCATCACCGATGTTTCTAACTCTCCCTCTCCCTTCATCTCTGAAATCAATAAAAATAACTGCAAAAAAAATCAATAAAAGTAACTGGAGCTCTTGTGAGGGTTCACGCTGGCTGGCGGGGCCGGGGTGCCCAACACCTGCGCTCCCCGTTCCGCCCCCTCCCCACGCGCAGCGCCCGCCTGCGGGCGGGAGCGCGGGCCTGCCCGGCGGAGTGGAGCCGGGCGGGCCCAGGGCCCGAGGTCCGGCCCGAGAAGGGCCCGGCCACCCACGGTGCCCGCGGGACGCCGGCTGCGGCCCTGGGAGTGAGGGGTGGCGCCCGAGAACGGCCGCCCGGCTCCCGCTGGGGGCGGAGCCGCACCCGAGCGACAGGCGAGCCGACCAATGGCGGGCGGGATGCGGGCCTGGCAGCCAATCGGAGCTCTGTGGGCGGTGCCTGCGGGGCGGGCGGGGGGCGGAGGCGCTGGAGCATCGCGGAGCCGCGAGGCTGCTCGCCGGGACCCCACCCCCCGCGGAGGGTCCTGCCCGCCCTCCGGCCCGGCGGGCGGTGCGGAGCCAGCCCAGGGCGGACCTCGGATCGGACCCTCCGCCCGGCACCCCAGGCCTGGAGGTCCCCCCGCGCGGTCCGCCTGCCTGTGGCCACCACCGCCCGCCGCTCCGGCTGAGCTGGGCGTCCCGGGAGGATTAGGTAAGTGCTGAGGTCGCCGCTTCTGCAGGAACGCAGGGATCCCAGAGGGCGGAGGCCCAGGGCCCCGGGTCAGGGAGGACGGAGGACCGCTGTGGAGAGCCGAATGCGGGTTCTCGGAGATCACGACCCCTTTCGTCCTGAATTCTCGTGCCCTTTGGACCCCGAGGCGGTCCCCAGCAGTGGTGAGCAGGCCTTCCTCTCCTCTGGACACAGGGGTAAGCCGAGGCAGGGGTAAGGGTCTGGCCCAAGGTCACTCCTGGGGTCAATGGCAGAGCCAGGAAAGGACCCGGGACTCCTGACCTGCCAGCCTCGATGGAGGGAGAGGGCAGAGGGTGAGAGGAGTCAGCCTCTTCCGTTCCATGTCCGTCCACCAGCCGTGCCCCTTCCTAAGGACCAGCACGGGGGTGTGCAAACCTCACACACACCCATCGCCTGCCCCAGGGAGGCACCCGGTACGGCCAGGAGCAAGCACAGGGAGGGGTCTGGGTACAGCTGTTGCTGTGCACCCTCCTCTCCCCACTCTGCCTTACCCAGGGCCCTCTGGCCTGGAAAGGCCTCAGCCCCACCCTGGGCTGGCACCTCTCCCACCCTCTGGTCCGGAGGGGTGGGGAGGCACCTCCATCCATCCTGGAAGGCACGCTCCCTCGTTTCTCCTAGTCCCTGGCAGCCACCCGCTCCCCTACAGGGGGCAGTGACCCCAGAGCCTGCCAGGGCACCTGACTGTAGCCTCTTTCCTTCCTGCCTCCTGGTCTCCCGTGTGGCCCCACCCCCACTCCCCGCACTGCCTGGGCCACACCGCGGGCTGGGTGCAGGGCCTCCTGTGACTTCCTGGCTGGCCGGAGGGCGAAGGCTGACCGTGGACAGGGCGGCGCTGAGCTCCGACCTTTCCGGAGACCGGTTCATTCCGGCATTCCATGGCCCTCTGGCCCTGGGAGGGAGGGGGAAGGGAAGGAGGAGGCACATTTAGGGGGTGACTTGCCAGGGTGGTTCTGGTCAGGTGGCCGAGCTGGAATTCAAAGCCAGGCCTGTGTGACCCTTAGTCAACCTCCCCCTTCCCTCCTCTTCCCTCCCTCCTCTCCCCTCCCTCATCCTCCCCCAGCCTTCCTCTCCCCTCCCTCCTCCTCCCCCTTCGCTCCTCTCCCCTCCCTCCTCCTCCCCTTCCCTCCTTTTCCCTCCGTCCTCCTCCCCCTTCCCTCCTTTACCCTCCCTCATCCTCTCCCTTCCCCCCTCTCCCCTCCTTCATCCTCCCCCTTCCCCCTTCTCTCTTCCCTCCTCCCCCTTCCCTCCTCTCCCATCCCTCCTCTTCCCTCCCTCATCTTCCCCTTCCCTCCTCTCCCCTCCCTCCTCCTCCCCCTTTCCTTCTCTCCCCTCCCTCCTCCTCCCCTTTCCCTCCTCTCCCCTCCCCCCTCCCCCTTCCCTCCTCTTCCCTCCCTCATGTTCCCCCTTCCCTCCTCTCCCCTCCCTCCTCCACCCCTTCCTTCTACTCCCTTCCCTCCTTTCCCCTCCCTCATCCTCCCCCTTCCCTCCTCTCTCCTCCCTCCTCTTCCCTCCCTCATCCTCCCCCTTCCCTCCTCTCCCCCCTCCCCCTCCCCGTTCCCTCCTCTCCCCTCCCTCCTCCTCCCCCTTCCCTCCTCTCCCTTCCCTTCTCCTCCCCCTTCCCTCCTCTCCATCCACGTGTCCTCAAGCCCCAGAGCCGCAGCTATAGAAAGCACTGTCCCTGAGCCCCTGAACTTGGCCTTGTCCTCCAGCCTGCACGTCCCGGAGCCTTCAGCACGCAGGGGCCTCCCCTCCCCCGGGGCCCATCCCCAGCCTCAGGTCTCACGCTCCCTTCAGGTGGCCGCTGCCTGCGGAGCCGGGCACCGGCTGGGGCTCCTGATGTCGGAAGCGAGTGGGCAGCTTGACTGGCCACAGGCCGTCTCGGCGTCGGCATGAACTCCCGGCTCCTGTCGGCCAGGGACTGGCTCAGCACCCGCCCGCCCACCTCCGAGCCGAGCCTGGAGCCCGCCACCGACGGGCCGGCCCCCGAGCCCACCGCCCTCAGCCCGGAAGCCACCAGCTTCAACGACACCAGGATGCCCGGCGTGGGCAGCGGCACGGCCGGCGTGGGCACCATGCTCCTGTCCTTCGGCATCATCACGGTGATCGGCCTGGCCGTGGCCATGGTGAGGGCCGGGGCGCCGGGCTGCCGGGACCTTCGGCTGGAGGTGGGCGGGCTCGGGTGGTAGAGGGTCTGATCGGAGACCGGCGCCTGTTCACGGTCACGCAGCCCTCCCCTGCCCTGGGCGTCTGTCCGCTGGGCCCGGGACCGGGGAGCCGCCTCGGGGGGAGAGCCGAGGAGACCTGAGAAACACGGTGTTTGAGCTGGGCCCGAGGCCCCACGGGAGAGGAGGCGGGGGTTCGGGGTGGAGCTTCTGGTGGCGAAGTTTGGAGGCGAAGGCCCTGTGAGCAGCGAGCAGGCCAGGGGGCCGATGGGGGTGGGGCTGCAGGTTTCCTGGAATCTGGGCGGAGGCTCTGCAGGGAGCGCAGGCCCCGGGCGTGTCCATCCGTCTGTCCACGGGCAGTCACTCCTGGGCACCTGCCCCAGGTCGGCCGTCAGCCCCCCGGACCAGGGAGGCAGGCCCTGCCCTGGTTCCCACAGGGAGTGGAAGGCGTGAAATGGAGGCGCCGAGGGCTGCGCACAGGGACTGGGCCCGGGGAGGGAGGGGGCTGGGTGGTCGGACAGCTGAGGAGGCCGCAGCAGAGCTGAGGCCTCGGGGCGGAGCCTGGCCCGTGTCCACGGAAAGGCCGAGCGGGCAGACATGAGGATGGGGCTGCGGGAGCACAGGGATGGGGTGGGGAGGGGTAGCTGCAGGGTCCCCGCCGGTGTCTGCACCTGGAGGTCTGAGCTTTTCTTTTTTTGTTAATCCTCCCCTGAGGATATCTTTCCATTGATTTTAGAGAGTGGAAGAGAGAGAGAGAGAGGGAGATGGGAGATGGGCTGCCTCCTGCACACGCCCCGATCAGGGCCCGGGCCAGGGAGGAGCCTGCAACCAAGGACCATGATCTTGACCGGAATCGAACCCGGGACCCTTCTGTCTGCAGGCTGACGCTCCACCCACTGAGCCACACCGGCTGGGGCGAAGGTCTGAGCGTTTCCTCTGGGACGATACAGGGACGCTCAGGGCATCCCAGAGGGGTCCCTAGAGATGGAGCAGGCTGAGGCCAGGCAGGGGGGTCCCCCGGAGCCCCAGCGGCCTGGCGTCCTGCCCGCGCCCCTCGCAGGCTCCCGTGGCCTCAGCTCAGGACACTGCTCTGACAGGCGGGCTGGATGGTCCGGTCGTGCCGGTTGCAGCTGCTGTTAAACCGGTTGCCATATGGCCCTTCGGGCTCCGGATCACAGCCAGGGAGGGAGCGCCGGCCAGCAAGAGGGCCGGACGTGGGCTGAGCAGCAGGGGGGGTGGGGGGGCGGAGTGCCAGTGCTTCCCCTTGGCACCCCCCTGCGGTTAAACAGCCGGAGACACCCCAGCTTCTGCCCTTGTAATTTTCCAGGGAGGTTGTCACCCCAGGACCTGGGAGAACCCCCTCGCCCGGGGCCTGGAGGAACGCTGCAGGGCCCAGGGGTGGGGGTGGGGGTGGGGGCGCGGGCAGCCTTCTTGCCAAAGCCGAGAGGTCCCGGGCAGAGCCGTGGAGGGCAGGCACCGCTCCTGGGCACCGGGAGACAGGCCCACAGATGTGCCCGGAGCGCTGCTTCCCTCCCTCATGCCAGCCCCGCCCTGCCACGCTGGGTGCCCGGAGGAAGGGTCAGTGCCAGGCTGTGTCCCCCCGGAGGGCTTCCTGCGGGGGGCGCTGCTGGACAGTGAGGTTTGTTTAAGTTTTTATTGATTTCAGAGAGGAAGGGAGAGAGGGATAGAAACATCAGTGCTGAGCCCTAGCCGGTTTGGCTCAGCGGTAGAGCATCGGCCTGCAGACTGAAGGGTCCCAGGTTCGATTCCGGTCAGGGGCATGTACCTTGGTTGCGGGCATATCTCCAGTAGGGGGTGTGCAAGAGGCAGCTGATTGATGACTCTCTCATCGATGTTTTAACTCTCCTTTCCTCTCTGTATAAAATCAATAAAATATATTTTAAATAAAAAAAAAAAAGAAAAAGAAACATCAGTGCTGAGCCCTAGCCGGTGTGGCTCAGTGGATAGAGCGTCGGCCTGCAGAGCGAAGGGTCCTGGGTTCGATTCCGGTCAGGGGCATGTACCTTGGTTGCGGGCACATCCCCAGTGGGGGGTGTGTAGGAGACAGCTCTCTATCCCTCTCCCTTCCTCTCGGTAAAAAATCAATAAAAATATGTATATTAAAAAAGGGAACGTCAGTGATGAGAGAGAATTTTTGATCGGCTGCCTCCTGGATGCCCACCCACTGGGGATGGAGCCTGCAGCCCGGGCATGAACCTGACCTCCTGGTTCGTAGTTCGATGCTCAGCCCCCAGCCAGCCGGCCGGGCCGGTATCCTGTCCTCTACGCCCCTGGGCCTTGGGGAGTCAGGAGGAGGGGTGAGCTGAAGTGACGCCCTCCCCCTTCAGCCCCAAGGAGCCCCAGGCGGGCGGGTGCTGAGGGCCGGGCATGGGCACAGGTGGGCCTGCCAGCCACCGGGGAAGACCAGGGGAGCCCACCTCTGCCCGCACTGCTTCTCAAGGGCAGGCGGCCTCGCCCGCACCTCCACGGGAGACACACGTGCGGGAGGCGTGTCCTGGCGGGGGGTCCTGCCCGCGGCCGCTGCTGACCAGGCCCCTCTCTTGCAGGTCCTGTACATCAGGAAGAAGAAGAGGTAACGTCTCAGCCGCCTCCCAGTCCTCCCGCCACGGGCGGCGGCGGCTCCGGGGGTGTGGGCGGGAAGGGGAGCCTCACCCTGGGAGCCCCCGTCAGCCCCGCTCAGCGCCAGGCTGCCTGGCCAGGGCGTCGGGGCCAGGGTGGAGGGAGGCACTTCCTCCGGAGGAACCTGGGATGGGGTGAGGGGAAGGCGGGGATTACCTCCCAGCCACCTGTGCCCATGCCCGGCTGCCCTGAGCCGGTGCCAGGGACTCCCCCACCCGCCGCCCAGCGGCTGTGGGTGGTGCCAGGCCGGCCTAGGCGGCCCCCTGGGACCCACAGGTGCCGCTCTGACACTGAGCCTCCAGGCTGGCACAGCCGGCTCTCATTTCACCGCAGGGGCAGCTGCAGGCTCCTAGCGGGTGGGAGCTGCGGCTCAGGGCCTGGGGGAGGGGAGGGGAGGGGAGGGCCTGCCGGATCCCAAGCAGCTTCCCCCCCCCCCCCCCTGCCCCTGCCCCGCCCCCCAGGCTGGAGAAGCTGCGCCACCAGCTCATGCCCATGCACAGCTTCGACCCCACGGAGGAACAGGACGAGCTGGAGCAGGAGCTGCTGGAGCACGCGGCCTCCGCGCAGGCCCCGCAGGGCAAGGTGGGCGCTGCCCGCTCCCCACGGCCTGGCCCAGCCCTGCCCGCCCCCCACCTCCCCAACACCTCCCTCTTCCTTCCTCTGCCACCAGAGGTGAGGCGCAGCTGTGCGGGGCGGCTTGTCAGGCTTGTTTAGAAATTGGCAGAATTGCCCCGTGGCCACCGCACCCCTCCGTGTGAGGGCAGGCTGGGGCAGCCCTCCCCCCCCTCCCCCCAGGCCCTGTAAGGAGCCCCCGGCCTCTCGGACCCCAGTCTGCTCCTCTGCGAACCCTAATCTCCGACCCCCCGCCCCCCTGTGCCTGGGGCAGCTGGAGATCAGAAGGGGCCTGGGACAGATGCTGGGACCGGCTCTGGGCCTCTGCTCCCGGGAGCCGTGGTCCTGAGGGGGCGGGGGTGGCTGGGTCACGGGGCAGCGGCAGCTCTGAGTGGACGGATGGTCCCTAGTAACGGGCAGAGCCCAGGCTGGTGGGTCTGTGTGGCCGTCCTGCCGGAGTCATCGGCTGCCTGGCCACCGGCCATCACCCCAAAGCCCGAGGGCCTCGGCAGCAGGAGGCCTGGTCTCCTCAGGAAGGCCCTTTGCATCCCGCCTCCTGGCCCCCCGGCTGCAGGGAGGGGTCTGGCCTGCCAGAGGCACAATTAGGGGCTGGACCCAGGCAGAGCCAGGCTGGGGGTCCAGAGACGCCTGGTTTTGCCGCCAGTCCCGGTCGCCGCACTCGGGACACGTTCCCCGGGGGACAGTCACGAAATGGGGCTGAGAACCGCAGCCGGCCGGCCCCTGGGACTCCTGAGCCGTGACAGCTGATTCCTTTTTCCTTCTTTAAAAAGTATTTTTATTGATTTCAGAGAGGAAGGGAGAGGGAGAGAGAAGCATCATCCAAGATCGCTGCCTCTCCTGGGGACGAGCCCACAGCCCGGGCTGGTGCCCTGACCGGGAGTCGAACCGGGACCTCCCAGTTCTGGGTCGACGCTCCAGCACGGAGCCAGCTGCTTCCTGAGCAGCCGCCACGGGCCTGTGCGGGGCTGGGCAGTGAGGGGAGCCGTGGCGCATGCGTAATTAACCCAGCCGCCCGGTGCGAGCTGCCAGGGCCCCGGGGCACGGCGTGGGAGGAGCCAACGGCGCCAGGTCCGGTTTCCAGGCTGAGCTTGCCGGGAGGGCCTGGGCACAGGCAGCAGAGAGCGTGGCGGGCAGGCAGCAGGGAGCTGGTGGGGCAGGCAGGGGGGAGCTGGTGGGGCAGGCAGGGGGGAGCTGGTGAGGAAGGCAGGGGGGAGCTGGTGAGGCAGGCAGCAGGGAGCTGGTGGGACAGGCAGGGGGGAGCTGGCAGGCGGGCAGCAGGGAGCTGGTGAGGAAGGCAGGGGAAGCAGGCGGGCGGGCAGGCAGCGGGGAGCAGGCAGCAGGCCAGAGAGCGCGGGGCCTTGGCCACGGCCCGATGCCCTGACTCTCTCCGCAGACCACGCTCCCGGCCCAGGGCCCGGTGCAGAGGCCCAGCCGGCTGGTCTTCACCGACGTAGCCAACGCCATCCACGCGTGAGCGGCCCGGGGACGGCCTGGACCCCGCGACACCTGCGCTCGGACCCGCCGCCGAGGCCCCGCCTGCCGCCTCCGGGCTGGGCACTTGCCCGGCGTCCCTGTCGGGAAGGCCGATAGCCACTGCGGCTCCGTGTGTGCGCCAGACCCCCCATCCGGTCTGCGGCTCCATCTCCGGGGAGGAAGTGGGGAGAGGGCACCACCCACATGTGGGACAGTGTGGTGGCACCCGGGACGGAGCCGACACTGCCCAGCGGGCAACGGTGCCAGGAGGGCCGCTCCCGCCCGCAGGAGGCCCCTGTGGCCCGCAGTGGGCCCCTGTCCCAGAGCGGCCAGGAGTCTCCCCGCCCCCGCCTCCCTGCAGCGGCTGCGGCTGGGCCCAAGTGGGAGGGGAGTGGAGGGGGGCGAGGGTGGAAGCGGGGGGACAGGCGGTGCCCACACCTGCTGGAAGGCCTCGTGCGTGTGCAGGATGTGCCCGCGCGCATGGCGCCTGTGCCGGGCAGGTGGCTCTGCCTCAGGCTGCCGGCCCCCAGGGCGTGGGGAGCCCAGGGCAGGCCACCTCTGCCCTCCACGTTCAGGGCGGAGAAAGGGGGGGCAGGGCGAGGGCCAGCGACCCCATCTCTTCTCTGAGCTTGAAGGCGGGGCCTGGGCCTGCAGGCGGCCCTGCCGGCTGTGTGCGGGGCCGGGGCTGGGCCGGGGCCGGGGCTGGGCCGGGGCTGGGGCTGGGCCGGGGCCGGGGCCGGGGCTGGGGCTGGGGCTGGGGCTGGGGCTGGGGCTGGGGCTGGGGCTGGGCCGGGGCCGGGGCCGGGGCTGGGGCTGGGCCGAGGCTGGGGCTGGGCCGGGGCTGGGGCTGGGGCCGGGGCTGGGCCCGGGCTGGGGCTGGGGCTGGGGCTGGGACTGGGCCGGGGCTGGGGCTGGGGCTCGGGCTCGGCGGCTGTTGGTCTGAGAGCCACGGTCATGGCTGCAGCCAGTGGGGGGTTCTTATTGCCTGAAGGGGGAATCACACCCACGCCCCTCAGGGCTCTACCAAGCGGGGTGTCTGGGCCACGCCAGACTCCAGGAGCCGGCACTCTGTCTGTGGGCACGACGGCAGCACGCCCGCCCGCCTCACCCGTGCCCGTCTCGCCGCAGCGCTGTCCCCCGCTGATTGGAGGGACGCGGGGGCACAGGGCTGTGCACCTGTCAGGATATGGGGGTGCGGGGCCGTGGGAGGAGTCGGGAAGGAGCCCCCCAGATGCTGTGAATAGGGCGCCTCCCGGCTGCCGAGGCTGGAATTGGCCGCCGCTTCCCGTGGGCGTTAAAGACGCTGAGGTTCCCGGGGTGTGAGCCTCACACGCGGGTGGGCCCAGGAGGGGGCTGTGGGGGGGGTGGACGCTTGGATCCCAGCTACGGGGCCCAGATGGGTTCCCTGATCTGCACTTTCCCAGAATGTGAAAGCTGGAGGGGCCCCAGGTCAGAGGGGGCCTGGAAGACAGGCCTGCAGAGTAAGATGGCGCCGGGGCTGGGGCTCCGGGACCCCTCCCGTCCTCTTCCCGGCCTGCCTCACCCCTCCCCCAGGGCAACAGGGCCCCTCCCTCATCCTTGTCTCCTCCCAGGCGCCCCCTCTTCCCCCCACTTTCCCTTCTGCAGCTCTCCCAGCCCCGGCTGCCGCTGGGGGGGAGCAGTGGTAGATGGGGGGACGGCTCTGGGTCACGTCCTCCTTGTGACCTTGGGCTGGGGCTGGTCACTGCCAGGCCGACCAGTGAGACGGCCACTGCCATGGCTGCTCCTGAGACGGCTGTTACCGGGCGGGCGGCCTGGGTGGCAGCAGCGAGGCCTCCCCAGGTGCAGGGGGGCAGGAGCTGGGGGGGTGGGAAGTGGGGGGGTGGGAGCTGCGGGGGAGGTAGGAGCTGCAGGGGGGGGGAGCAGGGGCAGAACCGTGGGTGGCGCCTCCCACGGGCCATCTGGTTTCACAAAGTGAAGGGTCACCTTCCAGCGAAGTGGCTGCAGGCAGACACCAGGGAGGCCTTCGGATGCAAAGGAGAGTTCCTGGGGCTGGGAGCCCGAACTCCAGACAGCAGCCTGGCCTTGGCACAGATTCCCCCAGAACCCTCCCTGAGCCCTGCGGGCCCCTCCGCAGAGCTGTCCGTCTGTGTCCACACACACTCTGTGTCTATCTTTTAAAAAAATATATTTTCATTGATTTCAAGAGGAAGGGAGAGGGAGAGAGAGAAACATCAGTGATGAGAGAGAATCATGGATCGGCTGCCCCCTGCACGCCCCCTAGTGGAGATCAAGCTCACAACTCCCTGCACGTGTCCTTGTCCGGAATCGAACCCGGACCCTTTAGTCCGCAGGCCCACCTCTATCCACTGAGCCAAGCCGGCGAGGGCTCAGTGTGCCGGTTAATAATGCAGATTTTTTTTTCAATAGATGGGGTTACACACATGTTGGTATATATGTGATCTGATATGTGTGCTATTTTGCTGTATTGACAACAAGCTTCAAAACTGCATATGTCGAATTTTCTGAAGGTGTTAACATCAGATAATTTTACACTTAAAAGATATCGAATTTCTCCCCCAAAAAAGAGCATTTGCGGGAAGTTTTGATTCATTATTTTGAAGAAAAGTGCTGCTGAAACTTATTGTATACTTCGGGAAGCTTATGGCGAACATGCTCCATCACAAGGTACTTGTGAACGCTGGTTGAAACGCTTTTAAAGGGATGATTTCGATGTGAAAGACAAAGAACATCCAGGTCAACCAAAAAAATTTGAAGACCAACAATGACAAACATTATTGGATGAAGATGGGTGTCAAACTCAAAAAACAACTTGCAGAAAGATTAAACGTTTGCTCAGAAAACAATTTCTGGCCGTTTACAAGCAATAGGAAACGCACAGAATCATCGACTGCCAGGCCAAATCGCTTGGGACAGAAGACAATGCTCTGCGTTTGGTGGGATCAGGAAGGTGTGGTGTATTGTGAGCTTCTACAACCAGGTGAAACCGTTAATCCTGGTCACTACCCACAACAAATAATCAATTTGAACCACGCTTTGATCGTAAAACGACCACAGTGGGCCTGAAGACACGGCAAAGTCATTTTGCTTGATGATGACGCACCATCACACGCTTCAAAGCCAGTTAAAGACACGTTGAAAGATCTTGCTGGGAAGTATGAACCCACCCGTGTATTCACCAGACCTTGCTCCTTCAGATTACTGCGTGTTCCCATCGATGGCGCACGCTCTGTCTGAGCAGCATCTAAACATACAAAGAACTGGAAGATTGAGTCTCTGAGTGGTCTGCCTCAAAACAAAAGTTCTATTGGGACGGTACCCACCAATGACCTGAAAGATGGGGGAAATACGTAGCTAGTGATGGACATTACTTTGTGGTGTTTTCTGTTGTTATTTTTTTCTTCTTTCTTTATTGATTTATTGATTATGATATCACATAATTGTCCTCAGCCCCCCTTTCCCATGATGGACATCACTTTGAATAAAGCACTTCTGATGTTTCTCTTGAAATTATCGTGTTTTCTTTGATGACAAAATCCACATTACTAACTGGTACTGGTTAAAAATGGGGATCGACCCTTTACCGGTTAAAAATGCAGCTTTTGTAATAATTTAAAAATAATTATTTGTAATAATTAAAATTTCAAGAGAAACATCAGAAGTGCTTTATTCAAAGTGATGCCCATCGCTAGCTGCACATTTCCCCATCCTTCAGGTCCTTGGTGGGTACCGTCCCAATAGAACTTTTGTTTTGAGGCAGGCCATTCAGAGACCCGACGTCCCATTCTTCGTACGTGTGGAAGTGCAGCTCAGGCAGTGCGGGTGCCGTCGGCGGGAACACGTGGCCTCTGAAGGAGCAGCACCGCAAATCCGCACACACCACGTCGCATCTTCATCAACATCCGTGCACCCCCGGCTATTGGGAAAATCCGCATTGCTAACCGGTGTGCCCGGTGTGTGTTCACGCCTCCATCCACACCACCCCCCTTGGTGCCCCGGGGGACTGGGTCCAGGATGCCTGCTGACACCACAGAGGCTCAGCCCCCACAGAAGGTGAGGGAGGATTTGTAAACAGCGGGCACAACCTCCGGAAAATAAATCCTCCTCACCCCTCCCGCCTGGCACCGTGTGGACGGTGTGAACAGGGGTTACATGTGGGAGCCCCTTTCACGTCCCCTGTGGTTCAGGGTTCCGGTTCAGGAGAAGGCCGCACACAAATGAAGAGAGACTAGAAAAGCATTAATTTGGGAAATTGGGGCCAGGTGGAAGCCTGAGAGGACTATCCTCACTCTGGCTTCGCCATCCCGTTCATTCAGATGATGGGATACACCCCAGCCCTCAGGCGGGAAACTCCAGTAACAGCCAATCAGCGAATTTACTTAAAACAGGTGGGGGTGCTTCCACTACCCACGTCTAGTGACGAGCTCTGACCCTGCAGAGCAATTCGGGTTGACCAGAGTGGGGACTCCCCGTCCACAGCTCGCTCTCCGTTAGTAAAACGATGATTGCCCTGGGCCCCTTCCTGGGGGCAGCGAGAGATAAAGGGGCTCAGGGCAATGACAGAGCCTATCATAACCCTCGTCCTGACGAGTGTGAGCTACGGGGCCACCTCCTGGAGGGAGGCCAGGCCCGCGTGCCCCTGCCCACCGGCCACCCACTGCTCAGGGCCCACGACTCCACGGTGCCCGGAGGGGCCTGGGGCTCCCTCGAGGGCCAGGAGCTGGTCCTAGTAACACCCAACCTCCGCTGGCTGGATCCCAGCCCAGTCTCCGTCTCCACCAGTTCCCCCTCCCTCAATCACCACCTCCCCCAGCCCCCTCCCCCAGTTCCCCCTTCCTCAATCACCACCTCCCCCAGCCCCTCTCCCCCTCCCCCAGTCTCCCCTCCCTCAATTACCACCTCCCCCAGCCCCCCTCCCCCAGTTCCCCCTCCCTCAATCACCACCTCCCCCAGCCCCCTCCCCCAGTTCCCCCTTCCTCAATCACCACCTCCCCCAGCCCC